TTAGACCTCTATAAATGCCCTTTTTTGCCTCCTAGGTTTTTCCTCTATTTCCTTTTACTTTCCTCTTGTCCCACTATCATGTTCTGCCTTCATTTGGATTTCAGTAATTCCTCTCGGTTACATTGCCCTTGATCAAGCCCTACCAGGTCTCCTACACCCTCCTCATCATCGATTTTAGATCACTTGTTGTTCCCTTGTCCCCACCAGACTGTTGGATTAGCGTGGCTATATAGCACGTTTGAAGGTCTAGGATCAAAAGGTCTCCTTGTTTTTCTCTTTTATTTATCCTAGGTTTCTCATCTTTCCATATAAAGTTGGTAGTTTTTCCATTTCTTTAAAAAATTGTGGTGGGGTTTGAATAGGAATTGCATTGAGTTTATATATTTTTTGGTAATAGTGACATTTTTCACAGTATTTTATCTGCCTATCCAGGAACATGGTGACTTGTTCCATGTGTGTAAGTTCTTTTGGTATCTTGAAGGAATGCTTTGTAGTTTTCTTTATATAAATCTTTTATCTGGCAAGATTTATTCCAAACATTTAATATTTTATGTAATTATTGTAAACAGTATTGTTCTTTTAATATATATTTTTTGGTATCATCACTTTTACAAGAGCCCAACTAATTTCTGTATGCTGACTTTATAGCCTGCTACACCACCAAATTTTTCAATTAGTTTGAGCATTCGTTTAATTGAATCTTTGGAGTCTTCTATATATAGGATTATGTTGCCAGCAAGCATTTTTATTCCTTCTGTGCCTATACGGATACCTGTAATGTCTTTTTGATGTCTAATGGCTCTAGCTAAAACTTCCAGACTATCTTAAATAAAAGTGGCAATAAAAGGTCAGCCCTGCCTGGTCCCCGATTGAAGAGATTATTTCAATTTCTCTCCAGGGAGATACAGGCTTTATATCTATTTTGTTGAGTGTTTTTATCAGGAATGGGTGTTGAATTTTATCAAATGCGCTGTCTGCATCAATTGTGTGCAGAAATCACCTGCCGAATCCAAGAGGTGTTACTGTTTTCTATGCTTGACCTGACTGCCAAGTTATCTCCACACACTTGCTGCACTACCTGGGTGGTCAATGGAGGACAGGGAATTCCACACCAGCTTGGCCTCCACCGGGGCCAGAGTGGGCAAACAATTAAATCCATCCAAGTCCTGGGCTTGAGGCAGATTCCGTATGAGTCAGGAAGCGACTCCGATTCTGTGACCATGGTGGCTCTACATTTATTTTTAATGTTATTATAGGATAATATCAGTCTGCAAACGACATGAATTTTTTCTAAGTGTAAGAGGAGAAAAATTACATATAACAAAATAGCCGTTTCAAGTGTATGTTATGATTATATAATTCATGACCAAACTGGATCTGTTTATGTAATATCACATTGTGCGTAGTCACCCAAATTAGTTTTCAATAGTGTTTAATTTATGAGGTTGACTGCAATACAGGGAATTAATAGGGCTCTTATAGTCATTCATGGTCTTGCCTATCATAAAATAATATTGAGTGGAACTATGCAAATAAGGGTACTTGTGGCCCAAGAGGATTGGAAAATGGGCTAATAATGCAATTAAGGTTCACGAACCCTTTTGGGGGTGGCAGCATGCAAATAAGGTGTATGGAACCCTAACAAAGGAATTGATCAGGTTTTTCCATCCCATCAGGCTTACAGAGAGCCAATTCTAGAGGCAAAGCTCTCACTACCATCAAGAGGAGCCAGGAGTAGAATTCATCTTTTGGCCCTGGGTTCCTATGCTGAGAACCTCCTAAACCCAGGAGACCATGAGAGCTGCAATCGTGAAGGCAGTGGGAGATGCACAGCAGCACTGAGACACATGGTGGCTTGGTTCCCTAGTACTTCTGTAACAAAAATAACACAAGTGGACGGTCTACGTAATCAGTGTTTATTTTCTCACAGTTTCGGAGGCTAGAAGTGCGACCTCAGAATGACAGCTGTAGGGGAAGGCTTTCTCTATTATCTCCGGAGGAAGGCCCCCGTCTCCCTTCAGTATCTGTGGTTTGATGTTCCTTAGAGATCTCCATCTGTGTTGGCATTAATGTTTCTCTGGGTCTGGAAAGTTCTCAGCACGGTGACCTTGGGTCCAAGGACACACTCCATTCCTGGGTCCTTTTTGATGGCAGTAGGACGGTCCCTCTTTCTCTGCTGGTTTCTTTTATCTCTTGTACTATAAAAGGTATTATAGCTCACCCCTGGGGAGACTCATCTTACATTGTATCAGCACTGTGTTCTGAGGGAGGGTGTTGTATTCCACTCTAATCCCCTTACAACATCAGATAACATTAGATAACAGCTAACATTGGTTAACATCAGGTAACACCATGGAGAGTAATTATATCATCTTGTAACTACCAAACCACTAAGAATCACGGCCCAGCCAGGTTGATACACATTCTGGAGGAATGCATAGTTCCTCCAACGGAACAAGGCAGCTACGGTGGGTGTGCTGACTGCACAGCAAAACAGCGAAGTGCCCTCAGAGGAGTCAAAGAAAGGGCTGTAGCATCCCCTAAGCAGGACCGAGGAGACAAGAGCAAGGCCTGCTTGCAGACATGGCCATAAAGCTGTCCTGACCAAAGGACTGTCTCCCGAGTCATTCCTGATCCTGGATTGTAACATATTGCTTACCTAATACCAGCCCCATAATAAACTATGACTGTGGTCTGTGAGTTCCATGTGGCCATGTGACATATTACTGAAGCCAGCAGAGAGGTAGCGTGCTACACAAGGGACGGTTGATGTCAGGATTGGTGCAAAGGTTGGAGGGTGGAGGTTAAGTGTGACCTGCACCTCCCAGGAGCCAGCCTGGGGCTGATGCTGATGGCCCTGTGAAGTGAGAGGAGGTGTGACAAGGTTCGCACACCCTGCTCTGCATGACAGCCCAGGATTTATGTAGCCGACAACCTATGATTAAACACCAAGGTTGCTCCCAAAGAAAGCTAGGCTGAGTGGCTTTATATCTAAATATTTTCAATACGAGCAATACTAGAATTGTTCTTCAAAAATGGGGTGCTAGTTTTAACTTCAAAAGTCCTCATCTCACCATCCTCTCACCAGTGCTGAGAATTACCATTTTAAAAGCTCTCTGCAAGTGAATAGGCAACAACTGATTTCTCAGTATTACTTAGGTATTCCCATCCATTTTTTATTGATGGTTTATATTTTGATATGAATTACACATGCATGTGCATAACCTTTGCCTATTTTCTGATGGTAAATTAATAGTTTTCTTATTTATAAAGAGTTCTTAATGCATTTAGGCTATTCGTTGTATCTCAATGCGGTTGGACAAAGTATGCATCAACTAAGGTTGTTAACCCGCATATGCTCTACCTTAATAGCTTGGGTGTAGTGTGTTTTCTCCTTTGATGCGGTAAAGTCTTTCCAGAAAAGACACAAAAGTCTCATGAAATGTAGAAGGAGCCCCGTTTAATTCTTCACAGGCTGTAGCACCAAGTGGCCAACAGATAAAATATGAAGTAGAAAGAGTTCGTGCACCCAAACTCACTGAACAGTGCCACTGGACAATTCTTGGGGCTTTTTCCTTTGGAAGATGTTTTTAAAAGATCTATAACTTTAAGAACGGATTCATGTCAAAGAATAGCAACGTGTAAACTGCATAGTAAGCTCAATACTATAGTGTTGCTTAATAAGATTCCTGATTTTTCATCTTCAAATGTTTGTTTTGGTAATAGATTACTGGCTACCCTGCTCTTTAAAATTAATTCTTTTGCTATAAAAGTGTTATCTAGAGATTTTTTCCCTTTGTACAACTTTACTCTGACAGTCATTTTGCTGTAGAATAAATCCCATCTTGCAGGAAAGAGAGAACTTCTCAAGACTCCCCCTGGTACTTTGATTCACAGATTAGAGCGGGTCAGCCAGTGAAAGTCCTAAAACAAAAAAGGTAAGACAAGCATTTAGTCAGTGAACCAAATGGGAAATGTCTCAGTCTATGCTGTCACTGTTTTGCTTGCTTTAACACTCTCATCCTGGTCACACTGGTATAAAATGAAGTCTGTCTTTGGGAGAAGAAAAATAGTTGCTGTGGCGTGGCTTCTGCCTCATAGTACCATACATACTCGAGTATAAGCCGGCCCAAATATCAGCCGAGGCACCTAATTTTACCACAAAAGCTGCATTAAAATGTGCTAAAAAAGTCGACTTGTACACAAATATATACGGTAAGTCTCTGTACAACAGACAGATACCTGGAATTGTCTTTGTCACGCTTAGGTTTGATTATTCACTGCCATCGGTGGTCAGACATGCCCCCCCCCACACACACACAGTGTGTCAGAGGGAACTGCTGTCCTCCCTCAGCTTTTCAAGGCTGCGACCTTCCAGGTGCCTCTAGGTCCACTGAAACCACCAACCAACCTTTGGAGGCATAGTTGAGACCTTAACTATGTGGACCACTCAGCCACCAAGTCACAGTGAACCTTCCTCTCTTGTCCTAGACAGCAAACTCAAATGACTTTCAGGGACCTCACTGATTAGTAGTAACCAGGACACACACACACACACACACACACACACACACACACACACACACACATCAGAAAGAACCAGAAGTACCCCCAAAGGAAGACCCAAAGAGGGTGGGGCAGCAAGTCAAAGGGGCTTGGGCAGAAAGAGACGCACAGATACCCCCGCCCAGACGAACACCACCAGCACCCGAAGTGGAACCCGGGTGCCCAGAGACTCAGATAGGGCCCAGGTTACAGCGGGAGCAGGTAACCCACACTGTGGACCAGTGGATCAGGGATGAATGGCAGAGGGCAGACGATGAAAAGCCAGCAGCTGGGCATTGCTGCTATATGTGGAATCCCAGAGAAGTGACACTAAAGAATGCTGAAATGGCACATACCAGAAATAAAAGTATAATCCTCCCAAAATTACCCAGAAAAGGATGAGCAATTATATTTCTCTATCCAGTGGAGCCCTGGTGGTATCATGGTTAAGCGTTGGGCTGCAATCTGTATGGTTGGCAGTTCTAAACCACCAGCAGCTCTGCGGGAGAAAGATCGGGCTTTCTATTCCTGTAAATAGTTACAGTCTTGGAAACCCACAGGAGGTTGCTATGGGTCAGCACTGACTCGATGGCAATGAGTTCATCTAGAACTTGGAGTTTGGATCCTTAGGAAGGTGAAAGCCCTAGCAGAGGGAAGGTGGGCTCTTCTGGGACGAGCACGGGCCTCACTTGTATTTGCTCAGAGTTGGGCATAGGCCGTGCTAGGGAGGCTCGGTTCCCTGCACTCTGAAGCCCTGTGCCAGGAGGAAGGCGTCCTGGGATGGAGAGGGATAAATTAATAAAATTGAAAACCTATCTACTGAGTGATCTGTTGGTTAGAAATCAATTCCACAAATAGAACTTTTTCCCAAAAAGGCAAACAATACAGCTCCAGAAGCAGGTAGACCCTGGAAGGCATAAGCCCTGCCTGCCTGCTGCTGCCCTTGCAGGAGTCCCTGCTGATGCTGCCTGCCCGCACCAGGGCCTGGGCTCCTGCACCCACATTCCTCACCAACACGCTCTCTTCTCTCTGCTCGGAGGGAAATGACCAAGCCTCTGGCAGAACGTCAGTGGCATTCCCTATGTATTAATATAGTTTATCAGTTAATTCGTATTCTGATTACCCCTGTCAACCCATTTGTTCCCTGCATTGTTCATAAATAAACAGATCAATCAGTCGATAAATAGATATATAGATAGATAGATACATACATACATACATACATACACAGGCAAAGGAGGAGGAGAGAAATAATCCCTATTTTAAAACCAAAAAGGACACCCGTGGGTTAAACACGGAGGAAGACAAAGCCAGACAAGATGCAAACAACCATTTTTTATAACTGTTGCCTCCGAGACAGGACTTCCACAGTCGCCCCTGTGCCGCGTGCGAGGCCTCCAGAGTGGGGCATGTCTAGGGCATGTCTATCCTGCTTTGGCTGTGCCTTCCCAGCCTGCTGTCTCCTGACCATATGGCAGCTGCTTCCTCTGGGCGCAGGCCTCGGTTCCCTACTCTGCTCTCCCAGCAAACAATCCATAGGCTCACTCAGTATCTAGATAGAGGGGTCTCCCATTGGCACCTCCCGCTCACCAGCTTTCTCTGAGATCCAGGCTCAGACCAATCACCTCAGCAAGCATCTCTTATTTGAATGCTTCCAAGACATGTCAACCAACCCAGTACATAGATCCGAGATCCGACTCGTGAGTTTCTCTCTCGAACTCGGCCCACTTCCAGGAAAGGCTGTCACCTCGGAGTTATTTGCATGAGCCAGACTCTCAGAGAGACACCTGAAGCCCTCCCTCAACCACTTCCCATCTTACAGAACGGAGCTAACACTGCCAGTCGGACCGCTTGCCTTTGGGTGGCCTGCTGACAAGACTGGCCGTTGGATGGTACCTGGGAATTTGAGCTTAGGGGAAGCTTCCCTCATCCTCTAACAGTGGTTTGATTCGCTACTGTGTGTACGAGCAATGTAGCTAAGTGGAACACCTGCTTTCAAATCCTGGGCAGAGTCTCTGCGGTAGTTACATAATTTCACATCAACTTGACAAACAGAGTGAAGGGGTGGAGGTTAGCCTGTCAATCAGGTCACAGCCTGATGATGCCTCCTGGTGAGTGGGACCTTGTCATGAGGATTCTGGGCACATCCTCTCTCTCCCTGGAGGAGGGCCACACTCTCTCTGCTTCCCCTTCCTGCCATGATCACACCTGGAGATGTTTCTACAGCCACTGGATGCTCAGAGGTTGCACCCACTGGCCTGTGATCTTTCGGCATTTTGCATCATTGCATGTGCTGCAGGAGTCTAAAGAGAGATTTATGGACTAGTATCAGACTTATGGGCTATATGGATCTGGACTGGGCTGGGATACTTTCTTGATATACAATTACTCTTGGATATAAAGTGCTTTCTTATACACAGGAGTGTCTCTGAATTTGTTTCTCTAGTCAACCTGGACTATTAGTCTCTCAGTGGAATTTCACGTCTTAACATCTGGAGAAATCAAGCCTGTAGGATAGTGGTTTCACCAGGAAGCCTCTGGAAGCTTGTGCCCGGTGTCTCCCCAACACTGCATCCGGTGCCTTTGCCCTTTCTTTGTATCTTTTTGTGTAATAAATCACAGCCATGGCTATACTAGCAAGTCATCACATCTGCTGTGGTTTGGGGGACCTCCACCACATGGGCTCTCATCAAAATCTGGTCCTCGTCTTCTATCTCATCGGTTTATCCACTCGATTGCACCGCTCTCACTGAAGCCAAGTCGCTGGCATCTCTTGTCTGAACTTGTGCAAAAGCCCAGTCACTGAAGTGTAAGCCGTCTTCTCTCATTGAACCAGAGGAGGCTTTTCAAACTGCAAATCTATTATCATCTCCCCATTCTCACACTGCCCCATCCTTCTTACATGATTCCAAGCCACCCACTAGCTATCGACTGCTCAGAAGGTCTCTCAGTGAGCGCCCTTCCCTCTCCTGTCTCATCTCCCACCACACTCCCTCCACAGTCTTCCAGCCACTCTGGCCTTCTGTTCCATTCTCAGGGGTCCTGCCAGCGTCTGGGCACAGTTCTTCCCTCAAGGCTTGTCCACAGGCATTCCTCCCCATCCTTTGGGTTTAAGCAGCACTTCCTGAGAAGCCTTCCCTATGCTGTTTGTTAAATTAAGACTAGGCTCCTTTCCTTCACCCTGTCCATCCTATCACCCTCTCGTGATACATTCGGTCTCTCCTGCTGGAACTGTAAACTCCCAGAGGGCAAGGACTGGGCCTGGTTTTGCTCACCAGGCTGTTCTCAGCACCCAAGGCGAACCTCAGCAAACCTCCAGGGAACAGACAAACACATTTCCAGACGCAGAGCTGATTCAGAACGAACCCTGTTAGTCCCGAGGATACTCGGTTTGGCACATACTCTTTGTACTCCTTTTGCTCGGCAGATGCTTTATTTCCTCTCAATTTAGCAACTGCACATACCTGGTCCTTTCGTGTGGCTTGTGGCTCAATCATGATGTTGATGAGGGAGGGTTTAGTCGTCTCTGCCAGACTCTGCCGCAGGGAGTCTTGGAGTTCCGCTGGTGTTTGTACAAAATACCCTTTGCCCCCAAATGCAGTCATGACCTGCTCATAGTGGGCGTTTGGCAGAAGGCACATGGGAGGGGTCCTGACAAAAGAAGTTCAGCAGTCAGTGAAGCTCAGCCATCCTCTGAGATAGTCTGTGAAATCAGACGCGCTCAGGTGAGACACGCCAGCGTTTCCAACACACAGACTAGGGTGCAGTACCCTGAACTCCCCACAGTCCGCGGCCCCTCCGTACACTTGGCCTTCATACCTGCAGATCCAACAAACTGCTGATCAAGAGCAGAACACTAAGAAACAAAATAGTTATACGTAAATACTATACCATTTTGTATTAGGACCTCATCACCTTTGGATTTTATTGTTCATGAGGGTCCTGGAACCAATCCCCTGTGGGTACCAAGAGAAAACTACTTTATTAGTAATAAATAGTTTACTGTTTGGGGGGAGTCAACAAATCAAGTCTGGTTCCCATGTTAACAATTCCCATGCCTACTGTGTGGTGTGACATGGGTGACATTTTCCACAGCGTGTCCACGTTCTCCTGATTTCCATTCTGGTGGGTGTTCAGTTTCCAGTGATCTCACTTCCCCGCTCCACCACCTCACCCCATCCCCTTCCTTCTCTCTCCTCCTTGCTTTAGGGTAGATGTTGACTGGCATTACCTCTGGGCATTTAATTGGAAATGTGGGCTTGTTGACCCCCAGAAGTGGAGCTGAGTGCCTTCGGGCTGAGGCTTACTGGAGTGGGTGCCTCTGGGCACTGAATTCAGGGAGCTGGGTTTGCTGACCCGTGGAGCTGGAGCCAAATGCCTGTGGGTTGAGACTTACGCTCCTTTGGGCAATTAGTAGCAGACCTGAAACTTTGCTTACCCTGGCAAACAACTACCCTGAGTATTTCTCACTGGCATTACAACTTGTTAACTTCCTTAATAAAGCCTGTCATTTTTTTTCTGTGAGTTTCTGTGTAGTGAATACAATGGATTTTAGAACCCAGAAAAATCAACTAGAGAAAGAAATAAAATGGAATACATGAGTTAGGATTAAGCAATGCTATATTGTGAGGATGTCCATCAATGTCACAGCAGAACATGCATCTGACTTTTTGAATGAAAAAGCAATTTGCTCTTTGGACTTTCACCTAAATAAAAGGTTAAAAAGATTACATGTGTCCTTTTGTGGTTGATTTATTTTACTCAGCATGTTTAATCCACATCATGCTTCATGAACTCAACATTGTTACTTAGCAGCTTACATCTACTGTGGTCTGTGTACTGCAATCTGTGTACTTCACCTGCTGACAGGCTCTCAGGTTACCTCATCTTTTTGCTATTGTGGATAATAAATAAGGTTGTAATAACATATGGGCACACGTGTCTATTTGTGACACTGCTATTAGATCTCTAGAGCATAGATGAAGGAGTAGAATTATTAAATCATAAGGTATTTCTATTCTAGTTTTTTTAGGAAGCTATTTTCCATATTGGTTGCTCCAATTTACAATCCCACCATGCCATGTTATGCAAGAAGATATCCACTTTCGCCACTACCACTTGTTTGTTTCTTTTAATCCTTTTATTGGGGGCTCATACAACTCTTATCACAATCCATCCATTGTGTCAAGCACATTTGTACATTTGTTGTCAACATCATTTTCAAAACATTTTCTTTCTACTTGAGCCCTTGGTGTCAGCTCTTTATTTCCCCCCTCCCTTCCCTCCCTTATGAACCCTTGAGAATTTATAAATTATTTTTTCATGTCTTACACTGACTGATGTCTCCCTTCATCCACTTTTGCCATCCCCCTGGAAGGGGGTTATATATAGATCATTGTGATCAGTTCCCCCTTTTTCCCCCCACTTTCCCCTTACTCTCCTGGTATGGTTACTCTCAATATAGGTCCTGAGGGGTTTATCTGTCCTGGATTCCCTGCATTTCCAGCTCTTATCTATACCCGTGTACATGCTCTGGTCTAGCTGGATGTGTAAGGTAGAATTGGGGTCATGATAGTAGGAGAGAGGAACCATTAAAGAACTAGAGTAGAGTGGTATGTTTCAACAGTGTTATACTGCACCCTGACTGGCTTTTCCCTGTGAACCTTCTGTAAGGGGATGTCCAATTGTTTACAGATGGGCTTTGGGTCTCTACTCCGCACTCCCCCTCATTCACAATATGATTTTTTTGTTCTTTGATGCCTGATACCTGATTACCTTCGACACCTGTGATCACACAGGCTGGTGTGTTTCTTCCATGTGGGCTTTGTTGCTTCTGAACTAGATGGCTGCTTATTTACCTTCAAGCCTTTAAGACCCCAGAAGCTATATCTTTTGATAGCTGGGCACCATCAGCTTTCTTCACCACATTTGATTATGTACCCATTTTGTCTTCAGTGATCTTGTTGGGAAGGTGAGCATCATGGAATGCCAGATTATTAGAACAAAGTATTTTTGCATTGAGGGAGTACTTGAGTAGAGGCCCAATGTCCATCTGCTATCTTAATATTAAATCTATAAATATATGTACATAGATCTATTTCCCCATTGTCATATATAAATATTTTTACATATGTAGATGCCTGTATTTAGACCTCTATAAATGCCCTTTGCCTCCTAGTTCTTCCCTCTATTTCCTTTTACTTTCCCCTTGTCCCACTATCATGTTTGGCCTTCATTTGGGTTTCAGTAATTCCTCTAGATTACATTGTCCTTGGATCAAGCCCTACCAGGCATCTTACGCCCCCTCGCCATCAATTTTAGGTCACTTGTTTTTCCCTTGTATCCTGGGTTTGTTAACACCTCCTTCCTTTCCATACCTCCCCCTCTCCCGTATCTCCCTGGAACCTTCAGTCCCGTTGTTTTCTCCTTCAGATTGTTGATGACATGCAGCGACAATAACAAGCACAAAAACAAGACAGTGCAAAACAAAACAACAACAAAACCAAGGACAGAAAAAAAGAAAAGCCTATAAATAGCTCAAGGTCTGTTTTTTGACCTTTAGGAGTCTTTTCTGGTGAGTCTGATGAGATGCCATGCCCTGGCTCCAAAGACTATTTTTGGAATTCCCTGGGGTCTTCATTGCTTGGCTCACCTTGTTGCTCTGTTGCACGCCCTTCGCATTTTGCCCTGGTGTGGTGCCACTACCACTTGTTAAAAAGATTATTTCTTTTCTGTTGAGTGGCTTTAACCCCTTATTGGATATCAGCTGCCCTCAGTGAGTGGATTTACTTCTAGGTTTCCACATACTTTTAAATTCTATCTACTACTCTCACTCTCCAGAACTTTCTGCAATGATGGAAGTGGTTTTATAGCTACATTATAAGGTGGCCACTGGGCACCAATTGCTACTGAATATTTGAAACGTGGCAAGTTAAACGCAGGAAATGCTCACCTACTAACTCAAAGTTGGCAGCCTGAATTTATCTAGCAGCAGTGAGTTAGAAAGGCCGGGAGGTTTGCTTCCACGAGATTACAGCCAGTGAAAACCTACAAAGTGCAGGTCTGCTCTGGAAACTGGGCTCCTCCTCATTATCAACGGCTTCTGATTTGGGGTTTTAGTGACCACTTCACTAGACAGTGCAGATGATGAATAAAAGTGGAATGGTTCTAGAAAAACAATAAAACCCAACTATAGGATGGGATCAACTGCTTCTGTGGGCTTCCCAGACTATAATTCTTTCTGGGTGCAGAAAGCCTCATCTTTCTCCCACAGGGTAGCCGGTAGTTTTGAACTGCTAACTGTGCCACGAAGACTCCTAACCTAGCTCACTCAGTCAATTCTCTATAGTTTGGGAATGAAGGCAGTGAGGCAGAAGCAAACATACCTGTTCCCCACCCACCCACTCCCAGGCTAACATCCATTCACATACGCCTCAATCCCATGAGTAGCCCTAACACTGTCTTGGCTTGGCTCTGTTATCAGATGTTCAAGGTTTAGATGAATGATATGAGAGAGGAAGATCTTTGGATTATAAATAACCTGCAAATAACCATATTGACTCAATGCATTAGATATGGAACAGTTCCTGGTAGTGGGAGCATTTTGTGATAAGCCCCCTAGTTCACAGGCTTAGACATCAGCCCATTCACCTGAATCTTCAGTGGCACCAGGTAATCACCAGAGCAAGCACCGATGCTCCAATCAAGGACAGCTGGGCAAAGAGGGATCATGTACACATGGTCCCTGCCGTTTGGAAGGATGACAAGTGAACCAAACAATGTTCGCATCACATAAACACATCCAGAACTGTATAGCAGCACTTTAACGAAAGATTTAAACCAGAGAGTATGCATCTACACTGTTCTGTTACTCACGTAGCAGCAGCGTCTCCAAAATTTAACATCTCCTTCCAAGTGCCAGGATCAACCCCTTGGTAAATTCCATTATTATTCACCACCAAGAGTATGATGGGTAGACTGTGCCTACAATTGAGTACAAAGACCATTCTAAGTTCCAACGCAATTGAATTTGGAGTGAAATTCTAACTTAAATTTAACTTAAAAGAGGGCACCTCTTCCAGTATGCTTTTTGGTAGCATCACAGTTCAGATGGGGGGGCATTTATTGTTTTAATAAAGAATATCAAACCACTAACAGAAACATCATGAAGTGGTAGAAAGAACAGGAGATTGGGGTTGGCAGATTTGAATTTTTGTCTGTTTCATCACTATCTACAGCAAGCCTTGAGCTTCTCTGAGTCTTGGTTTCCACTGAACTAGATGGGACTAAGAATGCCCCTTCCCTATTCACCACCCTGAACACCACCTCAGAACCTGGTCACAAAGCATCTTTTCATATACTGGCTTTGCTCAGCCCGCCAGCATATGCCTGATGCAGTGAGATCATCAAACATTCCCTGCCCTCAAACCACTTTACGTGTAATTAGAAAATCATTCAATGAACTAATTAGGAAAAAATATAGTATTTAACAGTGTGCTATAAACAGAGCAGTTAATACCCCAAAAGGTGTGATTAAATTTTACTAATGATTGAAAAAAAGAACACGTTTTATTTTCTACAGGCATAGTTCTGAGGCCCACTGGTAAAAAGCAAACTCAATGGCAGCATGTTCAATGACAGGATTTGGGCAGGGCTTCAAACTGATTTCAAGTCCTGGATTTGGGTAACTCTGTATTCTCTGGGCTAAGAGAATTAATCATCTGTACAAGACCAGCTTCTTCACAAACCATCTCCTGGCCCCTGGGTGCCCCGAGCTGTCAGTACAGACGCGCTGCTGTAAGCACACACATTCCCCTCTAGCTTGAAAGTTTCATGCGCCAAAGTTTCAAAAGCCCTAAATCATGATTCACAAAAGCTTAATTGAGAGTGGAATGGTTTCACTATAGTTAAATACAGATGGGAGAAATTTTCCCATACTTTGAGAGAGGCCTCTACAACTGCAAAGTTTCTCTGGGAAGCCCCCGGCTCATATCCACTGAGTACTTCCCTTTACCTGAGTGATCTCATGTGTCCTAATGACCGCTGTAAGGGTGGGAAAGGAAACAATGCTTGGTTCAGAGACTCAACCAAATTACTCGGGTCTGCCCTCATAGAGCCCGTCTACACATTCAGTCCAGCTGACCTCAGAAGAGGCCCAGGACACGCTGCCCTTGAAGAGAAAGCCCCTGGGTTATAAACGTTTGTAGCTTCAGGATGGGGCACCGTGTCTGGCACATGGGGAGCGCTTGCTAAGCCGTTGTTAGGTGAGTGAGCTGTCTGCATCCTTAGATGTTGTTTTCCACGTTTTGGAAAATGCTGAGTCAAGATGCTGTGTTACCTGCAGATGGTTTCCACCTCCATGCCAGAAAAGCCAAATGCACTGTCGCCTTCCACACAGATGACGCGCTGCCCCGGGTTTCTATCTTTAGCCACGATAGCAGCTGCAATGGCAAATCCCAAGCCGACGCCCATTGTTCCAAAAGTGCCAGCATCGAGCCTATCGGGAAAAGAAAGGGAAGTGAAACTTTGGGGGCACGTTCCAGAGGGTGGGGTGTGAGCGAGCCTTCTGGCTGCGTTCACACGGTTCATGGGAAAGTGAACACTAAGCCATTCTCTTTCTCTGATAGGAAATTCTCAGGATGTGACGCGAGCAACGGCTGCAGCCAGGGCAAGCAGAGAGGGCAATGACGTTGTGACTGCTTAGCAGACTGAGGACGGACCCTCAAAACATTGCTGGTCACGAGAGCCCCAGGATAGATCAAGCATAAAAATAACCATTTATCTTAGAATCCATTGATCAACGGTGTCCTTACAGACCAGGGACAGAGCATTCTCCAACAGCTCGTTCACCTGCGTGATGAACGTTCATACCAGCACTCTTGACTTGAGTAGGAAGAGCACTTGTTTGGAAGGCTTGCCTGTGACGGGGGAAGTAGTTCTGAAGCACAGTGCGTCCAATGTCCATGGTGTTGGCTCCTTCGCTCACCACAAAGCAATCTCGAGGGAGTTGTTCTTGAACGTGGTGGAAAACTGTGTAGTAATTCATAGGTAGGGACATGCTGGACGCTAATTCCTAAAACAGTAGGAGAGAACAGATTGGAATACAATGGAAATAAACAACACCGATGAGCTATCATCAAGCCTACCTGGCAAACCTCTGGGCAGCAATTACAAGTGAGGAGCTCCCGGTGACTGTCAAATGACTACTGGATGTTCTGAGAAGCTCATGCCCCTGAGTACAGTCCCAAGAAAAAGGAAGACCCCTTTAGTAGAGACAGCTGGGAACCGGGTAAAACAACCACTCCATCTTATGTGTGCACTCTTAGGAAAACGCTGCTTCATACAGAGCGAAACTCTTATTCTAGAATCCTGCATTTCAGATGTGTCCCTAAGCGCAAAGTTGAAAGGTTAGGATTTTAGGAAACCATCTGAAAACCTACTTCTTCCCACCTCTCACACACTGGAGGGTACAGGAAACGTGACCAAAGGAACTTCACAAATGCAATTTTTCCACGAACCTTTTAAGCCCCCTCAACACTATTTGAGGGAATCCCTAAATAGAGGGGAAAATAATCAACGGAATGCCTTTCCTCACCCTATATCATATGCCCACTGGACTGCTACCGTCACGTCCCACGGCCCTCTCCCAGTGCTACTTTGGTCTGAGACTAGATCCAAGATAGATGAGCAGGCCTCTGACATCCCTGAACCAGAGGCCAGGTCCTTTCAACCGCAGTTAAGGTGCTTCTTCAGGAAGACAGGAGACTGATAATGATACCATTCAAGACACAGAGCTGGGGTGCCTCATGGAAACGGAGAAACTGTCACTCACTAAGATTCCAACATCAGACATGTTCAGTTGGTGGTGCCACAATGCTTGTTTTGAATTTGTTCCAGCGCCACTTGTACTGGCTTATCAAGATTCTGTCAGCACCAAGCAATAGGTCGAAAGCAAAGGCGTGCTTTTTGGTTAAACTACATAAAATCTGAACCACGGTGGGTAGATTGCATAGAACAGTGAAAAAATCTCACAAACAAATGGACTATTTACCTATGAATACGCTTAACAAAAGTCTGCCTTTTGTGTTATATATGCATTTTTTAACTACAACTTGGTGACACGCAACATCATCTCATTTTTGTGTTTGTGAGAATTGTGTTTTTGCCTCATTTTCTCATGAGCCCTGAGGTTCCCAGCGTTCGTGAAACCGTGACTCTCGCGCATCCTTGCGAGCCGTGGCAGCCCGCCCGCTGCCCGCCCGCAGTACCTGGGCCTTGGCCGCATTGCTCTTCATCTTCTCCCTCAGGCTCTTCCACCACGCGCTCTCTGGAGGATACTGCCACGTGGTCTTTTCGAATTCTTCTAGAAGCTAAACAACAACACACATTTCCCTACGTTTTTCAAGACAAACTTGAATCACATTAACACCGAGAAGCGTCGTAAAGAAGACGGGACTGCTCTTTGATCGTAGCCCTCACATCACAGCGCAGCGCGCTTGCTCCCTAGGCAGCAAAGGGCTGACAGGAGACAAAGAGGGAGGTGGGAGGCTTCTGCCTGAATCAGAGCAGGGTTCTGCTACCTGCTGGGGTTTGCACAGGACAGAACTACACCTCACAGGGGGGCTCCCGCGTTCTCCTCAGTCTTGGGCACGAGAAGGAAATGCACCCCTTCTAGAGAGCCCTTCCTTGTAAGCAGGCCAACAGCCCCAGGTTCCTGGAACAGAACCCGTGCTCCGGGGTTTTCATCTAGAAGCTGGAATTGCTTACAACTATAGTGTGATCATCTTAACACGAACTCGTATCAGTCTCAATCAAGCAGTGGCTGTGATCACAGTATAGTTCCGAGTACAATGAAATGTGTAAATTATGCATAAGTAAACTTTAAATTATGATAAACAATCAGAACTGGACAAGTCTCTGATTACAGTCTCCAAAAGCTCTTTCTTGCCGGAAGAAGTATTAGAGTTTCACAGTATCTACACCATTTGTCCCTTTGGAAGCTGTATTGTCTGTTTTAAGATAACCAGATCTTGTTTAGTAAATTAAAGTTTTGTCTTCTGTATGACTTTAATGATATAAAAATTGTCCATGTGGAGGGGTCATAATCACCGAGTTCAAAAGTTACATATAAGAATCGTTTTCCAAATGAGGAGCTGATACCAAGGGCTCAAGTAGAAAGCACATGTTTTGAGAATGATGATGGCAACAAATGTACAAATGTGCTTGACACAATGGACGTATGTATGGATTGTGATAAGAGTTGTATGAGCCCCCAATAAAATGATTTTTAAAAGAAAAAGAAAAAAAGGAATCGTTTTCCAGCTGCCATTTTGTTTAAAATAGGCATTAACAGTCCTGTCACCAATGAATGAGGGCAGTACTATCATGAGAATGATTCTGTAAAGACTGGTCCACACAATGGGACATCCCCTCACAGAGAGAGGTCACAAGGAAGGGATGAATCAACCAGGATGCAGTATAGCACTGATGAAACACACACTATTCCTCTGGTTCCTTGAGGCTTCCTCAACCCCCACTATCATGACCCCAGTCCTGACTTTCAGTTCTGCCTAGACTGGAGTATGTACACAGGTACAGATAGGACCCCATGACACATGGAGTCCAGGAACAGGAATGGAAGTAGTGATACCGGGAGGGTAGGGTGGAGCTGGGGAGAGGAGGGAAGGAAGGGGGAAACAACTGCAATGATCGACACATTACCTCCCACCCCCAGGGGTGGGGGCGAAAAACAGAAACTGTGGGGGGAGGGAGACAGTGGTCGGTGTAAGATATGAAAATAATAATAATTTATAATTTATCAAGGGGTCATGAGGGGGGAAAAAAAGAGGAGCTGATACCAAGGGCTCAAATAGAAAGTAAACGTTTAGAAAATAATGATGGCAACATATGTACAAATATACTTGATACAATTGATATTTTGATTGTTATAATGGCTGTAAGAGCCCCAATAAAATTATTTTTTGATAATAAAAAAAACCCGAGTCCATAGAAAGCTCCATCCCGCCCATGTGCTCACCTGTCCAGTGACAGCATTTAAATCTCCGAGCAAAGTGACAGCAGGCCTTACATTGTTCCCCAGCTCCTCAGCACAGATATCAACCTGAAAGAGAGGCGAGGCTGAAGGAAAAGCCACATTTCTTCTGACCAATCCTTAAGAAGTCAGTTAAGGTGGGATACAGTAACTGCCTACATAACCCGTGATAAAGAAATTCTGATCATCAAGAAATCCTTTAATAAAAGTAAACATCTGCACAACTATGTGGGTATCATAGCTAGCATAGAAAACCTCATTCTTCTTCACCTTAAAATCTACTCGTAGAATTTTGGTGTGCTTGACCTGATCCATTATAGCTTTATATCTAAGCAATAATGGAGTTCTAAGTTCTACTTAATTACATTTGGAACTCCTATCGAGAGCAAGGGGTTCTCAATCTCGAGCGCATATCAGCGTCACCTGGTGGCCTTGTGAAAGCAAAGCGTGCACCCCAGAGTACCCCTCAGAGTTTCTGATTCCGTGTGTCTGGGGTGGCTCTTGAAATCGGCAACCTAATAGCTACCAGGTGATGCTGACGCTGCTGACCGGGAGCACACTGTGGAACGCTCCTACAGAGAGCTCGCTCACTTCTCGGAGGCTGGCCAGAAGCTCCACGGCTGGAAGGCTGAAAGCAGTCTGTGCAAGTGAGAATGGGTTCCTCCTTCGGAATTAGTCACTTAGCTGCTCCCAGGAGACGGAGTGGACTCTGTACTTAGGGGGTGGTGGCACCTTCCAGGTACACCCTGTGGCTGTGCTTGTTTGTGGGTCTCAGTTGCATTAGCCCCAGGTGAGAAAAAAGACCCTTAGAGGTTGAGTTCTTAAAAAGTAAAAGGTCGTCAAGGAGAAGATACCAACGGTAGTGGGCTCATCAAATATAAAATGAAACGGGCCCATTTGCAAAGGCCCAATAGGTTTCATGCTGTGTCGACAGTACATTTCATGTCCCTTAGGATGGAAAAGAGAGGCAACTTCGCTGGGGACAGACAATGAACACGTAGGGCCATCAATGAAAAGGTTCAAGTCCACTCCAGGAAGAAAGTCCAGAGAGCCACTAAAAAAATCAGCTCCAGAAATCTCCACAGGGCAGCACAGTTCTACTCTGACACACACACACACACACACACACACACACACACACACACACGGCTGCCAGGACTCGGGCTGATCCCACTGCCTCGTCGCTCTGGTTTAGAAGAAGAGACAGATTTGCTTGTCGTTCAAGCTGTCAAAAGTTGATCTTGAGAAGTTTTCTAGGCAGAAGTAAGCTGGCACCGGTGTTTCTTAGACTTGGAAAAGCAGCTTATTTGGCACCTATTTTAGGCAGTTCATAAAATTCTACTTTTGTAAAAAGAGAGATGGTTCTTTTTAAGTCAAACAGAAAGAAGTGGCAATGGGTGAGAGGAAGAAGTGTGAATTACAGGTAGCTCTGATTTAAATCTCTCTTCCGAGTTACCTGGATAAACTTCACATCTGGTCGGTATCGTGGAGGCAGTCCAAAGTGCAAAATCCAATTTAATCTTGCCCCAAATAACACAATTACATCAGCAAATTGCAAAGCCCTATTGAAAACAATAACAATCAGCTATAGCACAAAAAGAACATCTGTATATTGTGTTTGAATGATTCAGAAATTAATAAAGTACTGAGAGAAATTTAAATAAACAATTTGGAGTTTACATCAGACTTTAGAATCAGCTCCATGGTTCATTTTATCTTTCAAACTGAAGTTTCTAAAACAACTTGTTATAAAAAATTTTTTTAAATTACCATATATACTCGTGTATAAGCCGAGTTTTTCAGCACATTTTTATGCAGTTTTTGTGGTAAAATTAGGTGCCTCGGCTGATAATTGGGCCAGCTTATACTCGAGTATATACAGTAGTGGAAATCAAGGGACAAAAAAAGAATCACGTCGCCAATACTACTCCCTAATTGTAATAAATATCACAGCATATTCACATCTTGTCTTTTTTTTCTGTGTGTATCTTTACATAGTTGAGTTCATGAACTACAGTACTAGCGCATGAACTTTTTCTTACCAGAAATGCTTTTCTTTGTCATTAACTTCTTTTCATATATAATTCTTAAAGGCAATATACTGTTGAACTTAACATGCCACAATTCATATAACCTTTCTATATTCTTGGATGCTTCCGGTACTAGTTCTGAGCTGCACACCTTTGTGCTTAAATTCTAATGCACACCTCACACTGATCCCTAGAAGGAAGCAGTTTTAGAGCTACTGATTCATAATCCCAGATTGCTTCCAAGAAATATTAGACAAAGCATAGTCCTACTAGTTTCATTCTATATATACTAGTGCTATACGAGGTCTTAATTATGTACTTTATCTTTTCTCAACATAAATAACTTAGAATGTTTTAATGTTTTTTACTTGGAAATCCAGGGTCTGATATCAACAAACGTACCCTTATTTTTCTCTGTTCACCTCAAACATCTTTGCCCCCTCTTTAAGCAGTTTCCTTTAGTTTCAGATGTGGCTCTTAAAGGGATTTATAGCTGTTGTTATTATTAACCCAGTCTACATGTCCCTGCTTTTATCCAGGGCAGTTTATTGTTATAATTGCTGTGGGATGTGTTTTTT